GCAGGCCGCACCACGTAAGGTGACAGCAAACACTAGAAAAATTAGCGGAACCGATAATTAACGCGACGGCAGAATACGCGGCTAGACAGTATTCCCAAGGGGTAGAGGGGGTGGCTCGGGGAACGGGAGAAAGTAGAGAATCGAGAACACGGGAGCTAAAATAAAGCCTTCAATGTTTTGAAATAGAAATAACAGTAATATATTAACAATAAAATAATAGAGTGGTCCGTATAACCAATAGCTTTCGGTGACAGCTGATATTTTCCATGCGAACGAGATATTTATTTCCGCGGAGATGGGCACGACCGCGCGCAACAGTATCGGATTACCGGACGCCTTATGCGATTTAAACTCGACTTTTAGGCCGCGAGGACTTCCGTACGTGACTTATTCAGGCCGCGAGACAACTAAGGAAATCTCTCGAACGCACCGGTAAGTATTTTACGCACGTTCGTGAAACCACCTCAATACAATGAAAATTTTCCGATTATACGACTTGAATCGGTCTTTTAATACGACTCGCGGTGAGCTGGTATGTGTCCCGATAACAATGACGACGACCTTTGCGTTGAAATACGTTAAATATATTTCGAGTGACTTGTGTGTGTGCGGAAACTATTAGCGGGCTCAACGACACCCGATAGATACTCGGTCCGATATTTGAGAATTACGCTTTCTCCTCACTCTAATTACGCATCACTTGTACAAGATAGTGGCTAACAATACACAAAAGGAATACAGAAACTATCGAGAATGACTGTGGTGTACGAGTCGCGTGACGCAATACTTTGCGCGATCCCGAATATCGATCGCGCGAGCGTGAAAATCCCGATAATTTACAGCATACAATGATTATAAACTAACATTAATGACTGTCGGCGGCGGCGAAATGAATTAGAGAGAGCTTATTTTATGTAATTCGGATGAGTGCCGAGTGCCCGTCGGCCGTGCGACGTAATCTACCAAAAATTCCACAAACTTAATTCACAAAACGCGTGGCTCGACAACTATTAAGGGCTCGACTCATCCGAATTAATTACCTACAATAAATCGGCAACAAAATTGGGCTGGCGACACTCGTCCTACCGGCTGGAAGATTTCGGATTTTCCGTCGCAGTTTCGCTTTCGATATCGCTCGCTTCAGGAAACCTGCGTCCTATCGGATGTGCCGAGCAACAGAGCGCTCTGCGCATTCCATGTACACGGTTTACGCTTGTGTGTGTATCTCCACCATTACGGAGTCGTGTTGCTCGCGTCTCAATTCTGGCATCACTGAGCGAGAGTCCTGCAGGAGACACGACAGCGCGATAAATCGCTATCGTGCCACCTGTGGCGCTTTCGCATTACGCAGGGCCGTCCTGCGGTCCTTGCGGTCCTTGTTATCATCACGGCCGTATTGGTGGGCTCCTCGCCCCGGAATTTCCAAAATCTGCGGTTGTTCGGCTGAGAGATGGGGATTTCCGGTAGCGTCCGATCGGCTCTCGTTCCTATCTCGTAGAATAGGTCCATGGATGAAAGTACTCTCGTCGCTCCGTCTCTGGGACGCCCTCGCTTCGTGCGGGTGGAGTGGCCGCACCTTCGGCCGGTTCCTTCCGGCCCTTTACATCTCTGTTCCTGCCGTAAAAGATATAAAATTACCGGCAGCGAAGTATACTAGCAACCAAAAATGTTTTTAACATTAGAAAACTATGACCTGACGTCTCCTGCTTCCTGGGTGTCCCGGACTCCCGCTCTCGGCTGTCGCTCTTCTTTCTTCCTTTCCCTTTCCGCCGGATGGGATCTCGTCGCTCAACCATGTGCCGACAACTAACTCGCGGGCTCATATCGAGCTTACATTTTCGATAATTATTCTAAACAAAAGTCAGATCTCATCGATTTGACGATCGGGCCGCTCTCTCCCTAAATTAAGAGGACGCAGGCCCTCGAAAAACCGCCCCCGATCGGACCAGTCGGCCCTTGTGACGGACATCCTAAAAACGTCACGTCACAATATATATAAAATATACAGGGTGTAACTAAACAAACACACCTTGTACAAGGTATCGTCAGTCCTAAAAGCTATAGACTTATGTTTTAAAATCTTTCAAGTCTTTGACGTTGAATACTCGTTAGAAAGCGCTTACATATGATTGCTATTTCAAATAATTTTATATTTTTCGATTTGGATTGTTGTTCTGTACCTGATAGTATTGTCCATATGCGTTTGTTTAGTTACACCCAGTATATAATATTTTGCAGTTAATAGCAGATATCACGAAAATACAAGAAGAAAAAAGAAAAGCAGCCGTGGACCTAGGGATTACATTGCAGCCTTTCATCATTGCTGTCGGCCCATCCAATCGGCGGATATTTCTGATGTTTTTATATCAGTTGATGACACCTTGTACAAGGTATCGTCAGTCCTAAAAGCTATAGACTTATGTTTTAAAATCTTTCAAGTCTTTGACGTTGAATACCCAATAGAAAGCGCTTACATATGATTGCTATTTCAAATAATTTTATATGGCTATAAAAATAGTTCGGATAAAATGACTCCGAATATAACGGAAACAATAAGCGATATGTGGCACTTCAAGATAAAAACACGTAGTCATAGACGCAAACAAATTCTTTCCATTATTTTATTTCATTTTTTTATCAAATAAGACAAGTTCTTGTTTATTGTTTTTGTTTATTGTTTTATTCAATTTTTAGTTTTTGAAGAGGATAATATTTAAAAAAATCTCCATGTGATAAAAATTTTTGTTTCTTATCGTTTCGTTACAATTTTGAGTTTATTGGAATAATGCTGAAAAGAACTTGTTGAAAAAAAGTTTTGTTTTTTATTGTTTGGGTTTTAATCGTAAGGTTGATAGAATAATCCTCAAAAGAGTCCGCAAAAAAAAATTTTTATTTTGTGTTCTTGTTTTGACTTTTAATTTTCTTGAAAAGATATTGTAAAATAAAGCTTCCGTGCAAAAAAAGTTATTATAAGTTTGTTATTATTTCGTTGTAATCTTTTCGTTTAAGAAGATAGTACCGGAAATGATTCCGTGCCCATTTTGCGAAACAAAACTATATTCCGAAATTTGTCTTACTAAACACGTCAAACTGCGCCATAAGACTTTAATATGGTCAGCCTGCTACTGTCGCTATGAAAGATGTACAAGAATTTTTAACAGTTTTTATTCATATAAAAAACACTTTTTTCGAGGCATTTTGGGTCGTTTGGCAAAATTTGGTCAGAAATTCGGTAACGAATCGGTCAGAATAGAAATCCTGAAAATAATTTTCCTGACCTTACAGAATTGGAAAGTTTGAGTTGTCCTAACTTTATATCTTTAAATAGAATTATTCAATCTCCACAATCGGAATGTTCATTTCACGAGCCTGCAATTTTCAATATCGAAGCTTTTGAATGTATAGTACAAAAAGAAATCTCATCATTCGTTTCACAACTTTATTCGGAATTGAGTCTCACACGATCATAGTAATGTTTAGTTGAACGTATCGGACTAAATATTTTAGTCGGATGAAACACATTTTGCGTTTTTCAACAAACATTTTTTCTCAGTGTACGTGAAGCAAGTCACACGAACGAGTGAAGCAAGCACATGAACGAAACTACCAATCAGCATCGCGGAAAAGAGGCAACAATATACTTCGAGACTTTCGAGTATCGACTTTGCACGCTTTTAAACTGTCAAACGACACGAGTGAAGCAAGTCACACGAACGAGTGAAGCGAACGCATGAACGAAACTACCAATCAGCATCGCGGAAAAGAGGCAATAACGCACTTCCAGACTTTCAAGTATCGACATAACATGCCTTTTTTAAAGAGGGATAGGATAAATTCAAGTTTTTGTATTTTTAAGTTTATTAAATTTTTATTTCATGTTTAGGGAAATATGAAAAGTGTAAATTAAATTATAATTTCTATCTTACATATATATACTATTAATATTTTATATTACTTGTCTCTCTATAAATTTGTGCAAAATATTTTAAAAATATGATTTTTTATGAAGAATTACAAGTAGAAATCTATTTATTTATTGCATGATCACTTCTTTATTTAAATCGCATTGAAAACATATTAAAAGAAGCATTATGGAACGATACAATATCTTTTTACATTATATCTTTTACATATATATTTTATATAATATCTTATTTATAT